TCCTGCTATGGGATTCTCTCTGAAATTTCACATCTCCTTTTGTGTGAATGACAAATGCTGTACAAATTTGGTATACTACCTGAACAATCACTCAGCCATTTACACCTGTTTTTTCTAGCAAGATCTTAGAAAGAGTTGAGTCTTCACAATTGGAAGAGAAATGGTGGGAAAAGAAATGAAGAAACTTGCAAAATGTCTTTCTGTGGCACCTCATGTCAATCACAAGCTGAGTCTTTTCTGCAGCTGCTTTTCTCTTATGCAACTGTAAATGTGTTTATAATATTACCTTGCCTGGTTACTTGGCATCTTGAAGATCCTCATTCTCTTCTCAGAGTCCTGGTACAACGCGTTTCATCAGGACTGTTCCACATGTGTATCACTAGCAAAATTTTGAACAGTATCCTAGAAAGCAGACTCAGCAGGTGATTTAAGTGGGCATGCAACACAACAGGATCTTCTAGTGTTGGTAGTTCAGTGAGCAGTGGTGATGGAGCCTGTCTGCTGTAGCTTTTACTGTCCATCAAGCAGAGAGTCTGTGCTGCAGCCTCTCCGTAAGGACCGATCTCTCCTCTGCTCTGCTGTTCTCATAAGGCATATGGGAACATATCTGAAACGTACAGCACTTGTGATATTGTAATTAGGTGAGGTGTTCAAGATGAGACAAACTCATGCATACCACATCACTATGTAATTTTCATGCTCTTTAGGAAACCCAGCCTTAAAAGGACCAATGTGATCTTTGGACATGCAGAGAGATAGGGAGCTGATTTCATGTTTTTATCACAACCTCGTGGAGAGTGATAGAAGAATATGGCTTCTAGTTGGGAAAAAACAACTGGAAACAACTTCTTCTAAAAGATTGTTGAAAATTTTTCCAGAGAAGAGCCATGAAAATGACGGACAAACTGGAAAAAATGTTTTCCTGGGAGGGGCTTCCATCTCCCTGCCTTACCAAGAAGAGCAAGAAGATTGTTAATGATGTACATTTAAAACCGGACATTGAAAGGCTGCTCAAGCTAGTAGAGAAAGTCTCCTAAAACCCAAGGGAGAGAGATGCAAGCCAGACAAGCTAAAAATTAAGAGACAAAGAAAAAGGCATGCATTTTTATCAGCAATGAAAATTATTACACATTAGGGCAAGTGAATAGTTCACACTTTCAAAGCAAGACTGGCACAGCCACTTTCTGGAGGCAGTCTCCTGCCAAGCACAAGTCATTTAACTGCATACTGTGCTCTGTGCTGTGTAGAAGGTCAGTTTAGGTGGTATAATGGTCACATGTGGTGGTAAAGCATTCAGACCTATTGTTTGTGACCAAGGGGAGAACACTTTCAATCTGTCACAGCATTTCACTTTTTAATTACATGCAGAAACATTTTAATAATTTATACTGCTGAGTGTCCTGCTCTCCGTGGCTGGAATCGGTCACATCCAACTCAGTGAATTCAATGTGGTGAGGTGATCCCAACTTTCCTGTTTTGCTGGGACCCACTCCAGAACGTGGTGTCACCCTCTCTGTTCAGCCACACCATCAAAGGTAGGTTACCTGGGGAGTGCAATTCCATGCCTGCAGATAGTCTTTGCAGGATAAGGCTTTGATGCATCATTTCCAGTGCTATGTGCTATTTGTTAGTGACTGAAATACCTAGAAGTTCAGCTGTCTTGGTGGGATGTCTCTGAGACCTTGAGATGAGAAGAGAGCCCTTTTCTGCAGTTGTGCTCCCTGTTGCCAGCCGATTCCCTGCAGTCATCTGTGGGAGCCCCCTGCTTCTGTGGGCACGGCTGTGTGGTTATTATTTAACACCACAGCCTCTTTTCAGCATTTACCCTTCTTTAATTTGCTCGGTCTCACTTCACATTTTATGTTTCATTTTTCTCTTAAGTGTTTCAACTCGAGTTAGCTGTTAGCTTAATGTAGCGTATTTTTTACAGTAATCAGACAATATCTTTTAAACCGGGGATGATGTGCTCTTAAAAGTACAAATGGCAGCTCATTATCTTTGCCTGTGAGACAATGTTATGATACCACTTCTTTGGTAGTTCAGTTATGCCACCTCTTTGGCAAAATTCTGCTTTGTTTCTTCAGTGTAAATCCAGGATAATCTCTTGGACTTCAACAGAGATAACTGGCTTTATCCTAATATTAACTGAAAG